TTTTTTTTTTTTTTTTTTTTTTTTTTTAGAGGGGCACTAGATTGGCCCTTTTCCAGTCCTTTGGTACCTGGCCCGTCTCCTATGACTTCATAAAGGTCATTGCCAAGGGCACCAAGATCTCCTCTACCAGTTCCTTCGCTACCCTGGCATGAAGCTCATCTGGCCCTGCTGACTTATATTATTTGGACACAACTGACTGTCTCTTTTGTTATCTCCTCAGCTTGCCCCCTTCTTTATCCAGATATTCCTTATTATGTGTTTGGCTGCATCATAATTTTTTTGTGAAGACTGAGGCAAAGTAGCGAGTGAGTAGTCCCACCTTCTTTGCATCTTTGGTTAGAAGTTCCCCTTGGCTTGTTAACAGAGGACCCACCGCTTCCTTGGCCCTTGTGTACTGGCCAACATACTTATAGAACCTCCTGTTGTTCTTAACCTCCTTTGCCAGATGCAGCTCATTCTTTACCTTTGCCTTCCTGATTGACCCTGCAGGTTCCTGCTGTTTCCTGTTATGCTTCTTTCACCTATCCATTCTTCCACTGTCTGTATACTCTCTTTATGCATTTGGGATATTTTAGAAGCTTCTTGTGCAGCCACATTGATCCCTTGCCATTCTTCTTTTGATTCCATCATGTCAAGACAGTTTCTTTTTGGGTTTGTGGCCTGTAAATCTCCCAGCCCTCCTTGGTGCCTTTATCCTTCAATCTATCTTCCAGTGATACCATGCCTATTAACTCCTTAAGTCGAATGAAATCTGCCTCTGAAATCTAGCATCCTAATTTTGCTGACCTCATGCTTTCCCTGTCTCACAATTTGGAATTCTATTTTATCATGATTGCTTACTCCTAAGTTACCCATCACTTTCACATCCCCCACCAATTCTTCCTAAATTATCCCCTAGTTGTATCCTCCACTTTCTGGAACAGAAAGTTGTTTTCCACACAAGTTAGAAATCAGCTGGGCATTTTATGTTTGGCTGCCTTGTTCTTTCAGCAGATGTCCAGAAAATTGCAATTTCCGATCACTACCATCCCATAGCTTTTGGATAGATGTGTCACCTTCTTGAAGATTGCCTCATTCACTCTCTCTTCCTGATTAGGTGGCCTATAATAAATCCCCACCATTATATTGCTGCTGTATCTTTCAGCTTTCATCCTCACCCAAATGCATTCTGCTTTTCTGTCTTCCTCCTCCTCACAGGGAACAAGTATACGTGTGTTTGACTTACAAGGTAATACCACCACCTTTTCTCTCAACCCCAGTCTTCCAAAACAGTGTGATACTCCATGTTGACGTTCTAGTCATAAGAGCTGTACCACCAGGTCTCTGTGATGCCAATCAGATCATAGTTAGTTTCACAGGCTCCAGCATCCAGCTGATCTTGTCTATTCCCCATCCATGCATAGGATTTATTTTGCATTTTGACCTACACACTTCCCTTTTGTTCTACTTTTTGCAGTCCTGTAGTGCTCTTTCCCAGAGTTAAGTGACTTATTTTGAGTCCTTTCCCCTCTGGGCTGTGTGATCTGTTGCTGAAGGGCTTTGATCACTATCCTTTGTGGCACATAATTAAAAGCCCTCCTTATTAGGTTGGCCAGATGATGCCCAAAGATGCTTTTCCCCATTCTCGCCAGATGAATCCCATCTATTGATAGCAGTCCTCCTCCCAAGAGCATCTGCCCAGTGTTGAAGAAGCTGAGGCCTTCACGTTGATACCACCATGTCAGCCACTTGCAGGATATCGTGGTCTTTGCTTGGATTTTATAGCCATCTCTCATATCCCTTCTCAGCCCTTCACCTTCCAAACTGAAAAGCAGTGCAATCCTTGCTTTCGGTGAGAGCCTTCACATAGTTAAAGTTAAGAACATGCTTAAATTGTTTGATAAATTAAGGCCTCAATTGGTGTTAAAATGTGTAGCATTTTGTAAGGAAACGATAAAATCAGTGTCTTGTTATTCTAATTACTGCAGTACATATAATTCTCCACTAGAGGCTCCCATAATACTGGATGATATGTTTGATATGCAGTTTCCTTAAGGTATTGACTGTAAGACTATACAAATGACAATAAACTAAATAAATGTATTCATATATACTAAAGTCCATTCTGTGTCTGCATCAAAAGTGATCATTAATAAAACTAGAGAACTCTTTTAACTTGTATTTTCTCAGAATACATAATAGATAAGCAGGTTGTATTTAGTATTTACAAATGACATTCTCTCGTAATTTATTTTTGTTGAATCGAATTAGGTCGCATGAGAGGATCTCTGGTTACTCTGCAAAAATTAGTTAATCTGTTTCCCAATGATACTTCATTAAAGAATGACCTTGGAGTAGGTTACCTTTTGATAGGGGATAACAGCAATGCGAAGAAAGTTTACGAGGAGGTAAGCTTCCATTTCAGTTGGGAAAATGTAATAAGCTCAAATATATTTATTCTGAGGAGGTCTTACTTTTAGCTGCTTTAATTTTTTTTAAATATATATTGGTCTTATGGCTATCATAAATAACATTTTTGCTAGTAAATCATTTTTTTTATTTTGTAACTCAAATATTCCTGTTACCAATGTGCTACTTTTCATGAACTAATAAAGTAAAAGGGATTATGTAACTAGCATAAATTTACCTCCTTTGTCCCATAGTAACCTGCTGTCCCTACATATTTATAATGTAAAATATAAACGTAATGCTTACAGTAATACAGGAAATCCTCAATTTATCCATAGGACAGAATGCAGAAGAGATCAAAAAAACCAAAACAAACCATCCTCTGTTCTGTAGGGATCAGGGCTCATGGACGGAGGTGATATCTTTTATTAGACCAACATGGATGGATAAACTGCATTGTCAGGAAACCCTCTTATATGGATGGAAATTCACCCAGTCTGGTAAGGCAGGAGCCACCATAGCCAAGTCCACCTGTGGGGCTGTGAAAGCTGAATGAAGAGAGACCATGACTGTTTCCTGATGATGATGGTGCATTTATTGGACCATTTAAGCCTGAAGGTTAATTTAGGTTAGCTGGCAGCAGCAGAAGGCTGTTGGTCTGAGCCTGGAAAATGGAGCAGACTGTTATGTATGTGTTCTGGGTCTAGAGGCAAGCCCTGCCCTCAGTGTAATCAGGAGAACTTGTTTCTCCTGGGATCCTCACAGGGAGGAGATTGGGATTGCATCGTATGCCAGGTATACGGGATGGTTGTAGTTAGAAGGGAGAATTTGCCTCCAACACACAACAGCTCCCAGATACTCCCAGATACTGTTACTGCAGCTTTGGCAGTTCATAGGATAATAGGAAAGTAGGGAGGAAGGGACCTCATCAGTTCACTTAGTCCAGACCCCTGCACAAGGCAGGATCATTCCTGACTAAGCCATCCCATTCAAATGTCTAATTCAGTAGTTCTCAGCCTTTTTAGATGCATGGAATCCTTTGGAAAATGATAGCTTTAGTATTCTTTTCTTTTTTTATGACTACAGAAAAATAATAGAGCAATTCTTTTGTTGCAAAGAACCCAGACAAGCCAAAACAAGTCAGACTGTTTTGACACTGAATTCCTATTTAAAATGTCTGGGTTTATCTTGTGAATCATATGTGCACACCTCACAATGCCGCAGTGAGAGCCATCGGACAAGCCACTCCCGAATCGATGGCACGCAGCAGCAGAAGCTGCCCCACCCCTTCCCCGTGCCCTCTCACCCCAGTCTTTTATCCACCTTACAGTCCATTCATCCAGTCCATACTTCCTTAGCTTCCTTGCAAGGATGCTGTGGGAGATGGTATGAAAACCATGCTAAAGCCAAGGTATATCATGTCCACTGCTTTCCCCGCATCTACAGAGCCAGCCACCTTATTGTAGAAGACAATCAGGTGGGTCAGGCATGATTTGTTCTTGGTGAATCCATGCTGACTGTTCCTAATCACCTTCTTCTCCTCCAAGTGCTTAGAAATGGATTCTTTGAGGAACTGCTCCATAATTTTTCTGGGGACTGAGGTGAGGCTGACAGGTCTGTAGTTCTCTGGATCCTCCTTCTTCCATTCATTAAAGATGGGCACTATATTCCCCTTTTTCCAGTTGTCTCGGACCTCCTCTGATCACCATGAGTTTTCAAAGATAATGACCAGTGGCTCTGCAGTCACATCAGCCAACTCCCTCAGCACCCTTGGATGCATTGCATCTGGCCCCATGGACTTGTACACATCCAGCTTTTCTAAATAGTCCCTAACCTGTTCTTTCCCCACTGAGGGCTGCTCACCTTCTCCCCCAAACTGTGCTGCCCAGTGCAGTAGTCTGGGAGCTGATCTTGCCTGTGAAGACCAAGGTAAAAAAAGCATTGAGCACGTCAGTTTTTGTCTCATCATCTGTCACTAGGTTGCCTCCCTCATTCAGAAAGGGGGCACACACTTTCCCTGACCTTCCTCTTCTTGCTAACATACTTGTAAAAACTCGTGTTGTTACACTTCATGTCCCTTGCTGGGTGCTCCAGTTGTGCTTTGGCTTTTCTGACTTCATCACTGCTTGCCCAAGCAGCACTCTTATACTCCTCCCAAGTTGTTTGTCCAAGCTTCCACTTTTTGTAAGCTTCCTTTTTGTGTTTGAGCTCACTGAAGAGTTCTCTGCTAAGCCAAACTAATCACTCGCCACATTTGCTATTCTTCCTCCACATCAGGATGGTTTGTTCCTGTGCCCTCAGTAAGGTTTCTTTAAAATACAACCAGCTCTCCTGGACTCCTTTCCTCCTCAGAGTAGCCTGTTAGGGGGTCCTGCTCATCAGTTCCCTGAGAGAGTCAAAATCTGAAGTCCAGGTCCATATTCTGCTGCTCTTTTTCCTTTTGTCAGGATTCTGAACTCTATCATTGCGTGGTCACTGCTGCCCAACTTCCCTGTCTGTGAGCAGCAGGTCAAGAAGAACAAAGCCCCTAGTTGGTCTTTCCAGCACTTGCACCAGGAAGTTGTTTCCAACACTCTCCAAAAACTTCCTGGATTGACTATGCACTGCTCCAAGCAGAAGTCAGGGTGATTTGAAGCCCCCATGAGAACCAGGGTTTGTGATCTGGAAACTTCTGCTACTTGTCTGAAGAAAGCCTCACCTACCTTATCCTAGTCTAGTGGTCTATAGGAGACACCCATCACAACACCACCCTTGTTGCTCTCCCCTCTAACCTTGACCCAGAGACTTCAACAGTCTTATCTCCACTTTCATACTGGAGCTGTAAGTAATCATACTGCTCTTTTACATATAGTGCTGTTCCTCCTCCTCTTCTCCCCTGTCCTTCCTGAACAGTTTGTTCATCCATGACAGTGCTCCAGTCATTCGAACTATCCCACCAAGTCTCTATTATTCCAATCACATCATAGTTCTATGATTGTGAGGACTTAATTCTTCCTGCTTGTTTCCCAGGCTCTGTGTATTTGTGTACAGACATCTGAGGTGACCAGCCAATTGCCCGGCTTTCTCAGGAAGAGTGAATCCTCCCCTGTTGCCCCCTCCTACTTCTGCTTCCTCCAGGTCCCCTGCTTCCCCACTTACCTCGGGGCTTTGTTCTCCATCCACCAGTGAACCTAGTTCAAAACCCTCCTCACTAGATTAGCAAGCCCGTCTTCAAAGATTCTCTTCCCTCTCTTCATCAGGTGCATCCTGTCTCTTCCTAGCAATCCTTCTTGGAACAACATCCAATGATCAAAGAAGCTGGTGACACCACTTGTGCAGCCATGCATTGATCTGCAGGATGTGCCCTCTCCTACCAAGGCCCTTCACCTTGGCCAGAAGGGTTGAGGAGAAGTCCACCTGTGTCCCTGTCCCCTTCATGCGTGCATCCAGAGCCCTGTAGTTGCTCTTGATCAGCTCAGGGTCGCCTCTGGCAGTATCGTTGGTGCCCACATGTATGAGCAGCATGGGGTAGTAGTCAGAGGGTCAAATGAAGTTCCACAGTGTCTCTCCGTTGCTTTCTCAAACCACCCTCATAGTCAAAAAGTTCTTCCTAATTTCCATCCTAAATTTCCTCTGTTGCAGTTTGAGGCCATTGCTCCCAGTTGTATAGACCTGGCCTTAGGATGTTATGTTTAGTTGCTACTTTGGCACTCTGTCAGCATTTTCTGAGGAACAGGACCACAATAAAAAAATGGTAACTTTTAAACAGTTTATATCTCAGCTAAACCTACACAGAACTTCACAGGGTGAGAAAAGACACTACTTTTTCACCAGATTTGTCTTCCTGCCAAATTCATGTGTGCTGTAAACAGTGTAGGTGTTGAAGTTCTGCCTGTAATTATTTTAATACTAATATATTGTAGGTACACACAAGAAGAGCAGACTTTTTTGATTGAGACTAGATATCCTGAACCGGTACTGGTCTCTTTAAATGTATGGTTTGGCCTGTTTCTGCAGGAGTCATCTGCTACAATTGTTGCCTTTTGTAATTTATTAAATAGTTAAGTGAAATGTGATGCCCTGTCCTTGTGAAGAGCAAATAATGCCTCTTTAAATATTTGGGAAATAATACATCTTCTGTCTATCAGCCTTGTCAACCAAATCCTGACTCAATTTCTAGATTAGCTTTTACACAGGAAAACATTCATAGATTTCAGCAAGAATTTTGAGAGAAGGACAGTTTAATTCACAGACTGGGGATCTGAAACACTGGTTTCAATCCTGGGTCCCGCACCCACTTTTTGTGTGGCTTTGAGCAAATCACTTAGGTCCCATGTGCATGTTACACTTGAGGCATGATTAACCCGTTAATCGCACCTTTAAGTGTCACCCAGCCACATGTTCCATTCATTTAATGGTGAGATAAAAAGAGGAATAAGCTAAAAGTTATTCCACCACATATGTGTAATAACTTGCTAGCTGCTTCCTATCACACCATTAATTGACTGGAACTCCCAGCTGAAGCGGTCCATGTAGAGCCCCAAGCCTGGGAGCTCCCAGCTGCAGGGGGCAGCCCGAACACCGCTGCAGCTTGGAAACCACAGCTGCTGGATCTCCCAGCTGTGGGAGCGCTCTGTGTGCTTCTGTAGCTGGGAGACAGCTGCTGCTATCTGCCAGCCATGGGGGCTCCATATTCACTCCTGCAGCTGGGAGACTAATGCTGCAATCTCCCAGCCACAGGGGCACACCGCCATGGGGGCTCCCAGGCATAGGAGCTTCCTTCTTGCTAGTGCATGGAGAGCCCGGGACCAGGCCCCCCAACCCCGCATCAGCCGTAAGATACAGTGAGATCTGATTTGCAATCAATCTTACAGTCACTGACACCTCCTGCCATGTGGTATGGCAGGAGGCATAATGATATAGATTGCACATTAGATCCTATCGTGCTTTTACTGGCATGCATAGAGGAGCCCTTAATCTCTGTTACCACAATTCACCTTCTTTAAAATGAGATTGATATTTTATTTCCCATACACCTCATCTGTCTTTTTAATTTAGATTGTTAGCTCTTAGAGTTGTCAGGAATTGTTTATGCCATTGTATACTGCCTAGCACAAAGACCTAAGTCTGCCTGTGTTACTAGATGCCATGTAATACAAATAATAACAGCAATAACTGCTGCTTTCCATCACAAGAAATGAGTCAGGATCTTAGTATCTGGCCTAGTGCGTAAAAGCAAGTTGTTTTTTTTCAACCCCCTTATCGAAAAGTGTTTTCTGTTTGTTTTTAATCATTCACTTACCATGTATTTGGGTTTTTTAGAGTACTGTGTGTGGTGTCAAATGTCCTCAATTTTCCTTAATTTCATTTCCAGTCACTATTTGGTGCTCATCATTTCAAAGGGTCAAGTCCTGAAATTCTAGGTCAGTGATAGGATGACTTAAAGAAACCTAAATAACTCCAATCTATGAAAATACTGGTGAAAATCATCTTTCATTTCATTTTGAACTAATTACCTGACTTCAAGCATGTAGGTTTTTTTCTCACAACAGTGAATAAATCACATAAGATAATGGATTTAATGAAACTCCTTATGTTAAGTTTTTACTTGTTGAGGTATCATTGGTTGTTGCAAAGGAAACAAAATAATCTAAATGTGTGTCTTAATAGGTAAAGACTTTTCAGTTTGTATTTGGTAGTTCATCTGCTTATTTTTGATTGAAGCCATCATTATTGTAACATCAGAACTGGATACTGAAAATGAGATATAAGCAGAATTGTTTCATAACAGTTTTCTTTCCCCAAAATTTTCAATAAGGTGTCAGCAGCTGTGAAAGTGTTATAGTCAGATTTTTATTTTAGACGTCTTAAATGAAACATATCCTTTTTACTTCAAGGATGGCAAGCCTAAATGTTGAATCATAAATCAAAAGACTGTACAGCTATAGTTTAAGATGTGGGAAATATGTCCCATTTCTTAGCAAGTACTTTATCAGACTCTCCGCTGTACCACAGCTGGAAAGCAATACAAAGAAATAGAAAGGGTTTTAGTTTCTTCCTTTTGTTTGATGTCCATCTTTTGAATCTTTTATTTAGGAAATGAAGTACAGTATGTTGGAAGTAATTCTGCAAGAAGTCAGGAGTACATTTATTTTTCAGAGGTCTACAGATCATGATTTAGCACTATTTAAGAGGCTGTTCATATGCAGAGCAAGTGATCCAAAGGCAAATTTTCTCTCTGTCCCTTTGTGCCACATATTGGTTATTACTCTGAATACCCGAGGTTATTATCTGAAGTTTATTTCTGTACCCATGGTTAGTACTTAATGGGCAGTTTAGCATAACTTGTTACCAAACATAATTAATATTGTACAGAACACTATGTTAATGCAATTGACATTGAATATCTCTACTCTAATTTATGCTGATACTGTTCCTTTGCTTCATGGCAGGGGTCATGAATATAGATCTTGCTTATATGCAGCTAGGTATATTTAACACAAGCTGTTCTGCCTGCGTTAATTAGATGCACTGCTCTTGCAATAAAAACAAATTATAACAAAATGATAAGGCCTTTAAATCCTTTGGAAGTCATTGTTTGGTCCCATTAGGACTAGTATTTGAGCCTGTATATACCCATCTGGAACAAAATTATCCCTTAGTTTATCACTACTAGCACTTCACAAAAACCAGTATCCAAAATTTGTTTGTTTTTTTTAAGCTGCACAAATTGCATTAGATAAAGTACATTTCTACAGTCAAGCAGTCAAGTATCAGTGTGCATATGTTGGAAATGTGACGTCCATATATGTATTCTCTCTAAGTGTGTTTGTCATTGGGTTTTTTTTTTTCTTCTCTTTTTTTTTTTTAAAGAACTGGTGTGTTTGCCAAAATGAACCAATGGTTATATATGGTGTTGTGTCTCTTTGTTTATTGTTGATGTGGCTTCTCAGTCAGTTAGGATTGAGACACACTGGTCTATAAAACACTGTAGCCAGATCATGTCATATCAAAGGCAGTGCTGTTTTCCTGGCACTAATGGTTACGATGATGCTCAGGGTGAATTTTAAATCCATAGTTTTACTAGTTATTCTTATCTCTATTTTTAGCCAGATTCTGTATTGGCTTATACCTTTGCAATACTTTATTCCAGAAGGAATATAAAATGCTATCATTCTTCCTTGCTTGGATTTTACACCCATTCTACACTCATCTTGCATAGATATAAATGACTATTTGAGGTTTGCAATCTCACAAAATTCAGATCAAGGAAAAAGAGAAAAGTACTTGCTCCAAGAACAGTTTCAGAGGCTGATCAGGCTCCTGTTTATTTTAAAGGGAGCATTAAGTTAGACAATGACCGGAAATGGGAGCAGGGAAATGGATGCAATATCTATCTTTGCATTTTAAGGGTTGTCCATTTTTATGTGTTTTTAAAAACATAAAATAAATTGACCACAAATCAGGTTAGCAATATTTCAGATATATGGTATGACATACACAATTAGAGTAACAGATATATAGGTCTACGAGGAACTTCAGGAGATTATCTAGTCCATTCCTCTCTCCCCTCACCACCAAGGTAAAAATGGAATAGCAAATATCTCTAACATGGTCTTGAAAACTTCCAATGTTTGTTCTGAAGCATCTCAAAGCATAGAGAGTGAAAGTGGTGAAAACAGTTTGAAGGCCTTGGAGTTTAGGCTTCACCAGCTTTGTGCAGTGACCATTATTCAGCTGAAATACTCCAACTATACAGGGCTGAGGGCTTCATTACCTTCTCTCTCCCCCACACAGACAGAATCTTTCAAGCACTGTTCTCCAGTGCACCCGCATTTAGCCTACTAGCACCTCACTGTTTTCTTCCCTATAGAAGAAAAATTAACTTAAGCTAGAACTCAAGAATTGCTGAAGTTTTAGAGGGTATAGGTTCAGTTTAGCACAGCTTAGTTGCTACTGACACAACCACTCACTAGTATAGAAGCAGGCTAGATCCTGTCAAGCACTGCAAGTCTTTCACTACCTGCTCACTACCTTTTGTGCCCAGAAGGAAGAGACAAGTTCCCTAGGAATGCAGTGAGAGAGAGTTCATAAAGAGTTCAGCTTACTATAATACAAAGATTCATGGGATGGATTTCTCTTCCAGAAATCTTAATGCCTCAAATGACTTAATGCACTTAAGGTTGTTGGTTGTAGCCATGTTGGTCTAAGGACATAGGCAGGCAAGGTTCTTTGGGTAGGTGTGATATCTTTTATTAGACCAACTAAATAGTTGGAAAAATTGTTCTCTGCAGATTTTCAGGCACAAATGCCCTTCAGGCATAGGGAAAGTCTGTTGATGTTTATGTGCTTTCCTGGATAGGAAATGCATTGTTTTCCTAATTTCCACCTACTTACATTCTCACTGTTTGGCCTCTTATCATACTTTTAGCTTATTTCATTCCTTGGAGATTGCAGAACAACTGTGGAGTTTCCCTGTGCCTGAAGAAGGGTGTTTGTGCCCGAGAGCGTTCAAAGTTCTCTGTGCCAACTACTCAGTTGGTCTAATAAAAGATATCACATCTACCCAAAGAACCTTGTCTGCATAATGCACTTCAGTGTTTCCTCACACTGTGTATCTTCACTGAAGTCATGGTGCTTCTCGGCAGGATAAATTAGCTCATGCTGAGTTTCTTGCTGCTAACGTGGTTATCTCTACGCTACACAGCGGTTACTTCAAGTGCAGTGTAGATGTGCCCTTTGGGTGGCTGTTCTCACTCAAGCTAATGTGAGGCAAGTAACTAGACTATAGAATAACTCTCATTACCTCTACAGTGAAGATTTACTCTGAGACATGACAGGGAGAAAGGAAAAGAGAAAATAATATAATGGAACAGCTAATTAAGTTAACATGCTTATGGTTAAGTTAATTTCTGCAGCTGCTAATCTTTGGCCATAAAGATATGTTTGTGACTGTTACTTTATCTGTAAAGTATTGTGGAGAGATACAAAAGGCTGCATGTAGGTTGTTAGAGAATGAAGGATAAAATACAATTTTGTTAAACCACAACATCCTAATACATTGGCTCAATCTGGTTTCCATGTACTGAGCAAACCTATTTTGAAAATAGAGCCATAAATAAATAAAAGTTGCTTATTTGTTTCCCTTAAAATAGGTTCTGAGTCTGGCTCCAGATGACGGCTTTGCTAAAGTACATTATGGATTCATCCTCAAGGCAGAAAACAAAATAGCTGAGAGCATTCCGTATTTGAAGGTACAGTAATATTTCCATATGTTATATTTTCCATTATAAAATTCCCTATTTTATGAGTAGAAAAATATTAGAAGTAAGGGTGCACCGACAGAGATTTTTTGGGCTGCTACTGATGGCTGATTTTTAAGGAGCCATATCAGCCAATACTGATCCAATTCTGATATGCAGCCCTGCAACATTGAGAGTGGCATCCAGCTGGTAAGTCTGTTGTGGGGGAAAGGGCAGCAGGAGAGAAGGGGTGTGGGGGGCGCAAATCGAGGCTCCCACAGTGAGGGAAGGAGTGGGGATGGAGCTGGAGTAGGGGCAGGGGCAGGGGCAGAAGCAGGTGTTGCCCAGCTGGTGCGGGGCAGAGCACAGGACGAAGCTGGCTTATCTGGGGGGCCGTGGGGTGGGAGACGGGGCAGCTTCTGCCACTTCACGCACCCCAGGAGGGCATAGGGGGCATGTGCCCTGGGATTTATATGTGAGGTGGGGTGGAGTGGGCTGCCACTGCAGGCTGGGGCCAGGGCTGCGCAGGGCTCTTCCTGGCAGGGGGGCTGGGCTGGGCCTATGCCCCTTCCTTCCCCCCTCACCCTTTCCCTCACAAAAGACTTAGTAGGTGGACCCGGCTGCTCTCCACACTCCCCCAAGCTGTGCTCCTGGCTGCGTGCATGCACAGGGCATTTATCGGCCTCATCAGACAAAAGAAGCCGATTGTCGAGACTCAATTTTCTTCATATTAGTGCCGATCCAATATGGGACCGATGTATTTGTGCACCTCTAGTTACCAGAAAGGAAAAAAACAAAGTAACACAGCTCTATCCCTACATATAGTAATTATAAGTGATGGTTATTACCCCAAAATACATTTAAAATTGCAGAGGTCTACTCCCTGTAAACTGAAACTACCTTATACATCAAAGATTAAGATTTAAGCACAAAGTATATTTTCTTGATTACTAATATGATACGCATATGAGATAGGCAAATTTCATTGTCTGGTTGTTTTAAGGTGGCCAAATTTCTAGTTGTCCATTTTTGAATGCTCTTGAATGTTCCTGAGGAAATATGATAATATTAACTCCAACTTGTCATTTCTACTAAAATTAGTAAGGGTGGAAATGGGAGAGTTTGAAGAAAATTACATTTTTTTAAAGTTTTCTTTTTGTCTGAAATGAGTGGTATTTTTTGTCAAGCAGGTTAACAAAGAAATGTACGCTGCATATATTTACACACTACTATACTTTATAGTGCTTACTTCTTGCATGGAATTAGCAGCTTATTTGTAATAATCAAATTGATTCTTGGTTTTTATTGGTGTTTATTTCATTCTTTCCCTAGGAAGGACTAGAATCTGGTGACCCTGGCACGGATGATGGACGCTTTTATTTTCATTTGGGTGATGCCTTACAGAGAGTTGGAGACAAAGAGGTATAAGTTCTACAAATTCTTGTAATAAAAGATCAGACCTCTACTGTGCTGTACACCCTGCCTTGAATCTAGGAAGGTGCTTAAGAAAGGGTTTGTCTTTGAGAATGTGAGTAATCCCATTATCTTAAAGTAGAATTTGGTGATACAGTGTAGGCTGCAAGATGCCAGCTATAGAAACTAAAAATGAGAGCAAGGATTGCTGATGGTTTGTGACTTACCAGGGACAGAAAACTGGCTGTTATAAGCCAAGAGTAGAGAGGACAACCAGGGATGCCTAGGCAGATTCAGTGAATGAGATTTTGGTTAACAGTGAAATATATCTCTTACTGCTACCCTTCAAGGTGGAATTAACCTACAGCACTTTTCCCCTAGGGCCAAAAATAGATCGTGTGTGTGTTTGCTATACTGAAACTGTGAGAAAACAACTTCTGGGAGGTTGGGAGCTCAATGAAAAAAATGACATCCATAGTACAAGGCATTGTGAAGTCTGAATTTGTGCTGGGGCTTGCTGTATACCTTCGTTTTAAATCAGGAGGCAAAAGAGAAAAGGCGAACCTCAGTATTTGTTTGCAAGAACCCCTTTCTTCATACCCTAACAGAAACAAATCTAGAACACTATGGCTTTTAGTTTATGAAATGTAGCAAATTCAAATTTACACATGTGGGTTCGTTCTGCTTCTTTAAAAGGCTCGCTGTTTGAAAATAGAGGTTGAATATTTCTGTTGACACAAAACGTAGGCCTCTGGCACATGTTACATTTAAGACATGATTAGTCAGTTAATCAGGTCTTAAGTTGTGACCCAGCCATATATTAGTGCAATGAATGGCATGATAAAACAAGGAGTAAGCCATAAAAACAGGTAATAACTTTGTGGCTGGTTCTTATCACACCATTACTTGAACATGTGGGCAAGCTGGGGCTCCCAGCCTTGGAGTGTACCTCTGTAGCTAGGAGCCCTGGCAGGTTCCTAGCTGCGGGAGTGCAGCCTAGGATCCTGCATCAGCTAATAGGGCTTCCAGCTGCAGAAGCACATGGTGTGCCCCCATAGCTGGGAGCCCAGATCAACTGATGGGTCTCCCAACCTCAGGAGTTTTCTACTTGCTGGTGCAGGAGGAGCTTAGGATCATGATCCTGAGCTCCCCCAGGATTGGCAATAAGGTGTGATGGGATCCATTGCTGGATTGCACAGTTGCACTTCCTGCCATGCACATGTGGCCTAGCAGGAAGTGCGATCGTGAGCATCCCACATCAGATCCCATCGTGCCTTTGCTTGCACATCTGCCAGGGGCTTAACAAAAGGTTCCCTGACAAGGAGTAGGAACAGCAGAAAACAAGAAAGCATTATACATATGTATACGTAAACAATTTATATTATTTATCAGTGATCAGGAAATAAAAAGTACTGACATTCAAGCATTGTAGGAATGCAGACTTCTGGAATATCTCAATACCAGTCAGTGAAATAAATGAATCTGCTCATAGTACTACTGTAGTCAATGTAGTACTGGTCTGAATAAGACTTTGGCTATGATCCCATTTAGAACCAGATAAGCAGATGTGATAATTGGATTTTGTTATAAAATAACAAATGTTTTAGAACTGTCATAATTCCTCATAGGACAAATGTCCTGAAGAGAAAATATGCATGCCCAACTGACTATGTGCTAGCACTTGGATTTTTAAACTAGGATTATCTGATATGGAAGTAAAAATAACAGAACCAACATTCACATGCTTTTTTGCTCAAAAAGAATGATGTTCCCTGTGATAACCTGGCTTGTAAGGATCAGACTACATCATCGAATATTATGTTGTAACCAGGTGTGGTGCTAGAGAGAGGCTTGGGGAGGCAATAGCCACCCCAAAATTTTCCTTAGCAACTCCATAGCCACCACTCCCAGTGCCACCCCTTCCTTGCCTCCCACCCTATGCAGCTGAACCTGCCCTGCTCCCACCTGCAGAGGCACAGTACTCCTGGCCCAGTTGAATAAGCCCCACCTCAGCCCCACCCCTGAGAAGAAGCTGGTACTGCCCCTAGTTATAACTAACAGTACCACACAGACATAGTTAACTTACATCACCCTTATTCCCAAGGTGGGTTATCTGCTAATGTTTCTAAAGGTGAAGGCCAAACTTCTGTTTAAAAGAAGAAATGTGCTAATCAACGACACACCAACTGCGTGGAGCTAAAGGAGACTTAGATTTGTCAGTAGAAATTCCATGGTTAAGCTGTTTTTTCTTGCCTTCCTAAATTTGCCAAACTTAAAGCTTCAATCAAGGAATGAGATCAATAATGATCATGTGAAATAGCCATAATTATGAGTAGACTTTTTTCTATTAGGTCCATATTAGGAATTATGAATTTGACATTGGTAAATTTTAAGGAAATGTATAGGAAGAGGATTTTTTTGCTTCAAGTGATTCTCTGAGGTGGTGCACTGAATTAAAAAGGAATATGTTAATTAAAGGACTATATAAATAAAGTTATGTGCAGGAGGTGCTTAATAGACTGCTAGGTCCCTAGCACACATTACATGTCTGCTGTGATTATGGTGCTGGAAGTGTGGTTGTTG